TGTGTTATATATGTTTTTAAAAAAAATTATGGAGCAACCCTCGTACAGTTAAAAAATCCGTTAGATGGATTATAAACAATTTATTTAGTATAACTCTATCCAAATATACGGAAGAAGGAAAAAAAACCATACAAATAACAAAAAAAATCCTTTCGCTTAGCATCAAACAAAGAAACCATTTCCATCAGATAAGAATTGCATTATATGAATTTCCATGCATGAAATTGACTTTGAAACTAATTTCACTGTTTATTATTTATAAAGTAAGAACATTACTATGAGTGATTAGACAGAGTGATAAAAGGACTGTATTCAGTGAATACTGGATTTTACTGTGGATTGGAATTGCTATGAGAATGTTTTAGTTATTTTTTGTATTCAGCAAGTATTTTGAATCGCGAAGAAGAATTTAATTTTGAATGTTTTATCAGCTTGAGTTCCATCCAGATAACAGCAGTCGATCTATCAAACAATCAGACAGTTTATCAGAAAATATTCATCGAAATCATTGGTACGCATCGAATAGATAGTCCCATTCAATCAAATGATCACCTTATCCATATTCAGCATCCAATATGCTTTCACCATCCAATCTGATGCTGCGTATGAATAATTCGAAGATGTTTTATCTTGTTTTCGTCAGTGAAAAAAAAAACAACAACAATAAGTCAGCGTTTTTCATTTACCGCCCGTGGATTTTCACGAATCATTATTTCCGGTGAATAAATGACGCCTTCTTGCAACTTACCTATTTTTGGATATTTTGCTTAATTTGGTCCATTCACAATTCATGCTTACCGAAAATTAAAAATAACATTTTTAGTGAAGGGACACGATTTAGACAAGAGGATAACTAAGAAATAAAGTCTTCTTATAAATAAGAAAAACATGATCAAAATTCTCCATATTCCATTAGATACACTGAGCATAAACATATATTTTATCCGAATTTTAAGGATAAATTTGACTTAAAGCCCAAACAACAGAGAATCCAAATACTGAACGATTTTAAGGGATGATTTTTTTACCATATAAATTCAAATTACTTTTCGACACGTTTTTTTAACAATTATCACATTTTATGGAAATTATATTTCAATAATAAATAATTGGTAAAAAAAATTCCACTTCAAATATCAAATTTACTAAATCTTCACGCCCTAACGAACAAATTTGTTAAATTTATGGAATTGTATTGTATTAAAAAAAAAAAATACATAAAGCCTTTTGAATTATATCAATATCAATCATCGTTTATGTCTTAATATTCAAGTGATTAATATAATCGATGGAACAATAACGACCTTAAAATTGCATCAAAATCTCTCTCTCTCTCTCTTTCTTTGAGTCCATCGTTCTTTTGTTCTCTCGGTGCACACAAAATAACACAATACTCTTTTCTATACAATATGTTGAAGAGTGAAAAAATGGTGATATTTGCCTTAAATTCAACATACAAATCGGAAGGAAAAAACTGAGTGAAGCGATTGTCAAGCGATGATATAACGTTGACGATGATGGATTGGCTGCCAAACAAAAACAGTTTTAATTCCATTCAATTCACAATATGTTTCTTAATAGAATTGTGAAATTTCCATCGTCGCAACTGTCGCATCATTTTCGCATTGGAAAACTGCCAGAAACCACCACAAATTAATTAGAAACATTTGGTTTTATGTAATAATGAATTGGGACAGTATTTTTTTCGTATTTACAGGAGAAAGAGAAAAAGGGAGCGAATGGAAGAGAGAGAATCGTTTCATCTTCTCCAGTGACATCATTAGATCGATGTTTGTTTGTTTGACAATGAATAAAATTTGTCATCAGATCTGGTTCCCTTCTACCAAATTTTCTCTGTTTGCTAAGACTTTCGTTGTGTGAGCCAAAAACCAAGCGCTCTATACATAAAACAAAAACAAAAATTAAACCGAATATAAATGTTGTGGATGAAAATGGGCACTACTGTTTGATGATGAGAACAGCGAGAGGAGGGTGAGCTTCTTTGTTAAATAAATAATTTACGTAATTTATCGCTCACAGTCAATTGAAGTCTATCAACCCTACGACTACAATATGTGGTAGTTCGACATTTATCCTCCAAAAAATAGATATAGTTCACATATTGTTATCTTTTCGAATTTGACAGAGAGTTTCTTCTTCTATCAAAATATGGTCACAATCGTCACAAAGTTGTTTTTGGAATTATCATGGAATATGCAAAGAAACATGCAATTGTATTTGAATATTTTCGGCCTTTGTTATTGTTGATCTGATTAAATGGTGCCACAGAGAAAGATGTCGTTCATGCCCTTGATTTGATAACAAAACGAAGAGAAAAGAAAAGAAAGGTATTCTATTAATTACTATCGTACATCTGAGTTTTTTGTGCCTTCCATTCACTAATTGCTTCATTCAATTCATCCTTGAATATGACATTATGTTTCGCATACATTTGAACTACGCCGGCCATTGACACTCATAAAAATTCCCAATTGAGTTTGTATTTAGACAAAATAGAGATGTTCAACAATATGGCAAGTCCAATGTTCCGAGTTCAAATCAATTACCAAAGTGAATATAGTTGGATTTTTAAACAAAAGGTATTCATTAAGCAACTGTTCGGGCGTATATTATTCTGTCCATTATTATTATTGTTATTAAAGAGATATTATTCGCCCGCCATTTGGCACGGAAAATATTTGTTATGTATGTAATGTTCATTGTCACTTGCTCTGGTCCTGCTGATTTATTGACGACAAAAGGAAACGCACTGAATTACTATTATATTGAACAAAACGTAGATAAAGGAAACATCGTGACACACAGCATAATGGAATTGAAAAAAAGAAAGAAATGGCTCGAGATTTGTCGGAAGCTATCTATAATTTTCATTATATCTTGCGCAACAATTTGCTTCGTTGCCGTCTCAATCTCTTTTTCTCTTTTCTCAATCTCTTTATTTTCGTTTAATAATACACAAAACTGTAACGATTTCACACACTCACAACAGCCCACAATCCAAAGAAAATCACAGGCAGGCAGGGAGAAAAAGAAAAATCTCGGTTTTTATGTCATTTCTCATTTTCTTTCAAGCCGATTCTCATGCATTTGGATAAACAAAAACGTGAAAAACTGAAGTGGCTCATAAAAACAAACATTTTAATGGCTCTCGCTTTTTTTGGTGTGTGAGTGTTTTCTCATTTCTTCCTTTGAAAGTCCATAAAAAAAGAAAAAATACCATAAAAATTAAAAACATAAGAATACAATTTGTGTGTTTTGATCATTTTTGAAGTTCAAATCGAAGAAACAAACTTTTTTTTTTAATTTTATATTGTCCATAGGCAATATATTGAACGGCTTATGGAAAAACAGAAGATGCGTATTGCATTATGTGTGAGTGAAAAAATCAACACACTTTTTCCAGTCTCTTTTACCTTCTGCTCCTTCTCAAATCTCCTGTGTATGCCGGAATGTGTTATTTTTTGTGTTTTCATTGTACACACACACTCCACTTTGGTGTATTATCCAGAGAAAATCATTAAACACTTCCTGTGTAATACACAACGAAAATAATAAAGGAAAAACATCATTATTTAATGATTTGAGTTTTTTTTTCTATTCACTTTTTGTTGTTTGTTTGATTCCATCTAGTATTTCATTCAACTTAATGCGTGGCCGTTATGAGCTACTTTTGTATCATTTCAACGCGTTCCGAAAAAGCCAGTATTGTGCGGCGTACAAACAAACAGCCACAAAAATGAAA